CCTCATTATTAAATGACCTACTTGCCCCTTTTTTCTCCTTCATTTACTAAATCATCCTACACAAGCATATTTCAATTAAGTCTTTAACTTCTTCAATTTATCTAATATGGTTACTGAAATTTAAAATCTCTAAATTTGGCCACTAACTCGGTATTGAGGATGTTAAAAGAAGGGTCCCCCCGGTGTGCTTCAAATGTCAAAGAATAAGACAAGTCAAGTATGATTGACCCTCCTAAAGAAGAAGGGATAAAGTAAGAAGAAGGCATTTTTGGCGGCTTGAAGTTATGAAGATGACTCCAATGATAAAGATGAAGTAGCCAACCTATGCCTTATGGCTACCGAAGAAGATTCAATGGAAACTTCTAACTCTATTGAATCAAATTCTTATTCTTTTAATAAGTTACAAGTTCCCTATGATGAATTGTATTTGGAATTTGAGACCATGAATTATAAATATAAGAAATTGATTTCAAAATTCAAAGTAAAAAATGATTTTCTCTTGAAAGCAAAATTGGATTTTGAAAAGCAAAATGAAATTTTGAAAAATGATTTTGAGCTTTGAAAAACCAAAATTGAAGATTTGGAAAAAGAAAATCTTGAATTGAAAGTTAAGCTTGAAGGCTTAATAAAAGAAAAATAAATCATTTCTAAAAACAATTCATCTATGTTAAAAATGGCAAAATGCTCACATTGTTATTTTCATGGTCACTATGTATATACTTGTCCTATAAAGAAAATAAAATATTTTAAAATTAGACAAGTATGGGTTCCTTTGGGAACTAGAAACATTGGTACTAGCCTTATAGGACCAAAGCAATTTGGATACCAAAATCTAAATGAATGTCTCTTGTAGATTTGTTGGAGCAATGGTGATAAAGGTAAATGATTTCAATTGCTCTTGTCACATAAAACAAGGATGGGTAACCTCTAAACTTAAATCTTTTTGATTGTATATATTGGTTGCCTATTGATTTTTATGCATACATGAGCATTGAGCATGAATTATAACTTGTTATTTTCTATCTCATGTATGTTGAAAAAATGTTATGATGAACATTTCTTTTTAAAATGATTTTTATAAAATTCGAGTTCATCATAATGTTTGGTTTTGGTCAAGTTATGTTTAATTTTTTTTAAATTGTTTTCTTGATCTTAATTTGTTTTAAATATGTGTGCATATGTTCTTCATTGCTTATGATATCTCTCTAACAATTGATACCTATGTTAAATGCATAACACTTGAGAATGCTTTATACTATGAGTTATAATGTCTTATTTATTGATATTGCATAAAGTATGTTTGACATGGATATTTTGAATTTCTTGTGCTACTAATGTTCATCTTTTTTGAAATTCATTGTCTTTTAAGTGTCATACTTTTAAAGTCAAATTTTTTGTTTGAAATGCATTTATTGAGGGGGAGCTTTGATCTTTCAAATGACTTTATGCTTAAATTTATCACTTACTCTCCATTGTTATCTTTGAACTTTAAAGTTGAATTATATTTTATATAACAAAAAGGGGGAGAAATATGAGTTTGAAAAATTCAATTTCAAGAATGATAAATGGGAGTTTTAATATTTTCCAAATATTTCTCTTTTTCATTAAATATTTTACTAAGGGCGAGTTTTTCCAAAACAATTTTTCAAATGTTTTGTTATATAAAAAGGGGGAGATTGTTGAACCATGTTTTATAAGGTACGCTCATCATACTATTCAAACCCCGGGGGCTGCTACATGTAGACAAGTCTCCATTGAGAAAGGCATTGTTAATGTCAACATGCCCGAGTGCCCTGCCATTGAAGACAACAATAGTAAGAATAGTGTTGAATTGTACCACAGGGCTGAATGTATCGTTAAAATCAAAACCAGGAATTTGAAAATAACCTTTAGCAACTAACCGTGCTTTGTAACACTGTACTGTGCCATCCGGGTTATGCTTTATTTTAAATAGCCATTTAAACCCAATTTGCGTGCATTCCTCATAAAGATGAACTAGGGACTAGGTGTTATTCTTTAATAAGGCATCATACTCTCCTTGAACAACATGTTTCCAGTGTACCAACTGAAAAGCATCATGAATCAAAGTGTCGGATCTTCACGACAAGTAGACGAATGAACACACATAGTAGGTGGATGTTGCTCTAACATCGAATCCTAAAAACATAGAAGGTTGGATCAGTCACCCATGACCATGGCCACGACCTAGCCTACAACCTTGAGTGCTCATCGGATCAGATCTATGAGGCTCTATAGAAAGAATTTAACCTAAGTTAGACTAGCATCATAAATCTTACATTTATTTAAAACTCAATATATAAGGTGATATGGTATTTAAAAATATCAAAAACATCTTTCAAAATATAGTATTTAGGACTCATCCACAATCCGAGTGTTTAAAACTGAAAGCTTTAATACCACTAAGTGTAACTTCCTAGACCCGACCTAGGAGTTATGACCGAATCCAGGCGATCACATGTCATATACATAAATCATTTTAGTTAAAATAATTTGTATAACAATAAACATATACACATACTAACATCAGAAGTCTCTATATACAGATCCAAAAAATATCAGTAGTACTTATACATACGCAGTAGTAAAATATGTGTCACCCAAAATATAACAGAAAAGGCATGTAGAAATATGTAGAAAAAACCTACAATCGAGTAGTATCTGAAAAGTTACAAAAAAAGAATAAGCTAAACAACCTAGTGTGCTACTTGCGGTGTATAAAAACACACTGATAAAATACTTCGATAAAAGTTATATATAAAATAGGTTTAGAAAACATGAACACTACCCTCATCCGAACACTAGAATGTACAGGTTCCCCTTAACTATACACCCACCTATACACCCGGTTAGGACCTTATACTGATAGCATAAGGACCTGCGATAAGGACTTACCCTGTGCACAAAGCAGAGGAGCCAACGGTAAGGTCTTACAAGGCATAAACTAAACCTTATATACTTCCTCTAATCATACCCCCAATGATAGTAAATGCTCATGTTTTTGAGTGAAAACAATAGTTTAATTTATTAAAACATTAAAACATGGCATATACCAAAATCAGATACAGAAATACGGGAACCAAATATCATGTTGAAAGAATATGGTAATCATATATCATGTAGTTAGAGTGTTCAGTAAAATCAAAAATTCAAAAAGGTTCAGACATATATTTCAAAACAACATTGTAATACCAATAGGAACACACATGCACCAATCTAAGAAGTCTGGGACAATAGGATACTCTCAAGTTTACCTATCACAGTCAGCAACAATGCTAGAGCCTACGAATAAGAAATTGGGATCCTAATAAAAATAAGTAATGAGCTTTAAATTCAGTTATTTACATAAACATACGACTAGCTCTCAAAGAATGTAAATTGTACTGATTAACCGGACATGAAGGAACGAATCTAGTTGACCCTCGATTAGGGGAATTACGAGTACTTTCATGAAAATATATCTAATATTATTTCTATAATTAAATCCCAAATAAATAAGTAGAAAAGATAAAAATACTAATCATTTTTGGATTAACGGTATTGATTTGCGGCTTTGGGTCAGAATTTGACGAAAAAGATATCAAAATAAAACTTAAGACGTTGAAAAAGATAGATGATCTCAGAAAAAGTTAACACTGATTAACGATCAATGGTCAAAGTCAACACCGTTCAACGGTTAATGGCCATGGCTCAGCTCGACATGGCTCGACTCAACTCGGCGCGGTTCGACTCAACTCGGCGCGGCTCGACATAACTCGGCGTACCTCATCTCGGCTTGATCCGGTTGGACTGGTTCAATCTGATTTAGAAATAGGTTAGTCTAGATTTTGGGTTTGGGTGAGACGGTACAATGATCAAGTCGGATGCGGGTACGAGTCGGATCGAGTCAGCGAGTCTACTTGACCCGCTTTCAAACAGTCCACCAGGTGGTTGACGATCTCCTCGCGTAATAGCGGTTGACGACGAAATGACGTTTGAAGTTTTTGGAGAAAGAAAATATTAAAAATGGAAGGTTTGAAGAAAGAGAATGGTGATTTCTAAATAAGGTAAATTCTGGTTCTCGGGTGTTTTAAACCCAACTTAAAGAAAATGGCATAAACATGTCATAGGACCCTAAGTTCTTCTCAATTCATGAATTTGTCTTGAATTTAATTAAAAGTTTACTTTAGTCCCCAAATTTTAACAAAATTATAATTTAGTACTCAAAATTAATTTTAAGAAAAAAATTAGGCCCTATTTTGGAGTACGACATGAGATCTTTGATCATCTGTCTCCTAAGATATAACAACTAGATTATCAACGAACAGTTGCAAAAACTTTGGTAATCATGAACTATCCTTGCCTTCGACTATCACCAAAAAACTAACAAGGAAAGAAATATTTTTCAAGAAAAACATTATTGAATTCTGAGATATGTTTAACTTAGAATATCATCACTCTATTTATAGGGGATTCTCAAAGAAGCATTTACTAAAAATATTGTTATTCATTTATATTCAAACTCTAAAAAGATAATATCTTTTAATTATCTTTTAGTTTGAATATTTAAAAATATATTGATATTTTTAATATCTTTAATATATAATTTTAAAAAATAATAATATCTTTCAATTTAAAATATTCAAAAGATATAAACTTCTTTTACTATTTAAATTTAAATAGATATTATGTTAATTTGAAATATTTAAAAATATATAATCATCTTTTACTATTAAAAGTTAAATAGATAATAAATACATATTAATTTGATATATTCGGAAGAATAATTATCCTACTAATTTTTAAATTAAATAATATTTTTTAATTTACACTATTTAAAAAGAATATAAATACATGAATTGAATATAAATATTTTATGCTTATACTAAATGTTTTATGCTTCTAATACTTATACTAAATGTTTTATGCTTCTAATTTAATTTTTAATTTCAACAACAATACTACTTGATTAATAAAATATTAATTCATCAATTATTCCGTAAAAAAAAAAAAAACAAGAGGTGATGAAATACATCTCCATGAAAAGGATGTCTCCAACCAACTTCCACCGCTAGATGCTTTGCGTGGTCTTGTGTCAGCCGCCCGTACCCTACACGTGTCAGCTATCTGGCCCATCATATTCCCTTGCGGTGGCTCTAATTCACACCACATTTACAATCCATTGCTTCAGATCTTCCCACGTCACCATCAACTATATCCTGTGGGGATACCAACCCCAAATGCATTTTCATATGACATAATATGAAAAACTCTCTTTATTATTTGATTAAATTTCTTTTAATTTTTAATTTTTTTAATATTTTGATCTTTAATACTTTATTTTGAGGTAAAACTACTCTTATGGGAGTGAAAACATTAGTTAAATAACGATTAATACTCCTAAATAAAAATATTATTATTTCAAAATGAAACATTGATTCTCAAAATACTCTAAAAGAAAAAAAATAATATTCAAAATAATTTAATCAATCTAATATCAGGAAAAAAAAACCATTGAAAAGTAAAATATTAAAAAATTAAAATTAAATTTTTTAATAAATATTAAGATAAATTTTAACATTGTACCTGTAGACCCCATATTTTGTCCTCATCCACAGCATTACACCCATGTAGCTCCACCAAGCTTCCACTAACACATGTTTCCTGCCATTGCCAACTCACAAAGATAAAGATGCATGTGAACTTCTATCCAAAGCATCAACACAAATTGCATTATTTTAAAGTGTAAAATAATTGTAAAATTAGCTATAAAAACCGAATGCATGTATGAACAAAAGGGGGGAACAATTGTAAAGGGATTACTCTCGATTTTCAGAAGGGGATAGTAATAAAATACAGATTTTTTTTCCAGCAATACTAAGGTAGTTCAGTTTATATTTTAATTTTCTTTAATTTATTTATTCAATTCGAATGCAACTAATAATAAGAATTTTAGTTTGTAATTTTGTTCGTAGTTAACGTAAATTCCATGATTTAAAAAAAAATAATTAAAATAGAGATAGAGTTAAGTTACCTTGCTGCAATACGTCGGAATAGAGGTGTCGTCGTCGTCGGATCTAAAGTCGAGTGGTCGGTGTGGCTTTCGAGTTCACTGGAAATTTTGATAGCCATGGTTGCTCTGTGAAGGAAAAGAAAGCAAAAAGATTAGAAATGAAAAAACTAATCTGGTTCACGTGTAGAAGAAAGAAAGGAAAAGATATAAAGTTTTAAAAAATTTTGGTTAAATCATTTGTCAGGCCACTAATTTTTAGGAGCTTTATATTTTGTTCATATATATTAATGATTAAATCACGCATAAGGACCTCATGTTCAGTGTATTTTATGCTTTGGTCTTATCAGGGTAAAATCACTTTTAAGCTCCCTTATTTTAATGCCTTTTGCACTGTGGTCATATATTTTGCTATGTGTTTCAAATATGAATATTGATTTTAATAATCTTAGAATTTAGCCACTGTTATTTTTATTTTTTTTATTCGGATCCTTGTTTATTTTTATTTAGCTATTATTTTATGTTTTATTACATTTTAGTCAACATAATTAGATTTTATTACAATTTAGGCTCATATATTTATTTTAAATTGATTGTTGAGGATCTTATTTGTTCATATTTATTTATTAGGTCCTTTAACTTTAATCATTTAATTTTCTGTTTGTGCTATTTTAGTACTTTATTTTTTTTGCTATTTAATCTATTAAGTTTTTTTTTCTCTTGCAGCTCATTCCTATAATTAATTCGATCCGTGAATTTTAATTATTTCTAATTTCTTTTTATCTTTTATATAAATTCTCTTTCACTCCCTTTTATTTATTTATTTACCTATTTTATATTTTATCTTTTAATACTAACTCTTTGTCTTTGCTGATTTTATTTTTTACTTTATTTATGATTTTTTAGGGATAATTTAAATTGATCAAAAGGTAAATAATTATGATCGAATTTTAAAATTTTAATTTTAATTTTTGAAATTAAGACAACCGATAAATTAAATGGTACCGAAAGGGCAGTTCAAGGGTGTTAATCCTTCCTTGACTGTAACCGACTCCCGAGCCCGACATATTTTTGGTAAAACGCAGATCAGGTAAGATGGTATCTGATCAACCTAAATATTTTTTTAAATGATCGGTGACGACTCCTAATAATTTATTCTAAGTTGAAGCCAAATTCTAAACCCACCCGAAAGGCGGTCGCGACGGTACCTTTTCATTTTTCATTAATCACCATGCTTTCCCATTTGGAGACGGCGCCCGCCACTCCGTTCTGGATGGTCAGTATCACAACCGGACAAAAATATGGTCAGTTTTTATATACTGAATATTAATTTAAATATATTAAGTTAATAAATAATTTAAAATATGCTTCTTCTAAAATATGCTTTCTATATGTTTCAAGAATTTCAATTCGCTTAATCCTAATGTCATAAAAAAAACAATGACATAAACTAACACTGAATTTTAATCCTGAAAACTTGGGTTGTACATGGCCGCTAAAACCAATTTGGCTTATCTTCTACTTGGCATTTTGTTGGATATCACAAAAAAATTATTGAGCATTGTGCTTTTGAGTTTTTGAACCTTCATTTGGTCTGTAGATCATTTCGGTAGACTTGTAATAGTGATTTTATATTTGCAACTACTATCTTGCACAATGATAATTGCCTACTACTAACTACTTGAAAATGACGGTTGCTGCAAATAATTCACACGCGTTGTATTGGGTAAGGATGTGAAAGTGTTTTTCTTCGCTATTTTTGGTTGTTCAAAGTGATTTCCAATTTTTCCAACCAACTTCCGATCGAGGGTTAGTCCAAGCAGCCTATACCTTGGGCCTTGGTTTATTTTGTATACGTTGAACTTATATTTTGATATAATAAATTAAGGGTAATATTTTTGAATGTGATTAAATTTATTTAAAAATTTTAAAAATAATTCAAAGTCCATAAAATTAGAATTTGAACATAAAAATAGTTTTTGGGTAAGTAGTATTGATATTATTTTTACAATATCGATACTGTAGACACCATATTTCGTCCTTATTATATGATTATATGTATATATTTTATAATATATATATATTTTATAATATATATATATATTATTTACACATTTTTCCTTTTATTTTATAGGCCCAAATACAATACATAGCAGGCCCATCTGGTGACCAGCTGCCAACAGTGGACCCGAACCGGTCCAGCTAGGGTTTGGAAATCCTAGCTCCTCACTTTGCTTCCAGCCGTTTCTCACCCAGCGCCGCAACTTCCCTTGTTCGAAGTCTCCATGCCTCACGCCTCATGCCACTCACGCAATCATCGTCGGTTTCCTCGGCAACCATAACAAGCATCACCAACAAACAAGTTTAGTGTAAATAGGACTCCTAAAAATATGATCTATTCGTACTATAAATCAATGTAAGTATAACACAATAGGGGATTGACACAAGAGAAATTATGGTAGAAATCACTCGAGAGAGAACATATTCATCGAAGCATTTTGTAATATTTCGAAGAGAAATAAAGAGGTATTTTTACCTGTTCGGGTTCCTTTTGCACTTGCATGTTGTGATGGTTCGTTCTTTTCTTCGTTGTTGCTTCGAACGGCCAATGATCGGGGGAATTTTTCGAGATTTATTCTTTAGATCTAGCCTTTCCGAGGCATTTTTTTTTCACAAAACCGATTTGATTTTTAGAATGTGGGGGGAAAATGCTTTTAAAAAATCCAATTTTTTGGTGGGTCACCGCCGATGAGCGGCGGCCGGTGGCACCAGAATCTGGGTTTCGTGCTGCGGATGTTCTTTAAAATGAAGAACAACCCAAGAACGTTTCAGAGGTTTTCGGGGGCTTCTGTTTGATCGAAAGAAGAGGGGGAGGAAAAATGAAGCTTTGTTTTTGTTTTTTAACTTTTATACCTGGACCCGCGTGCTTACCTGACTCGAGAGAGGATCCGCACATTTTTAATTTTTAAGCGGAAATTATTTTTCTAATCCCCCGTATTTTTTTTATACTTATTTTCCCCCTGAACTTGATTTATCACGCTAATTTTCTTCTAATTTGGTCACCCAATTTGCTTTTATTTCAATTCGGTCCTCTGTTACTAAAATAATTATATATATATATTTTATATCTATTTAATTAAGCATTAATTTTCTAGAGTCTCAAAATTCGGTCCTCTATTACTACATTGAGAAAGTTGAACCACTATAAATCTTTATGAAAATTTTCTTATTCTTTTTTTCCACACTCAAATTTTTCAAAAGACTAATTCACCCCTTCCTAGCACTATTTTTTTGGTTGATCATTACAGCCTCAGAATTCCCAATAATTGATATAAGAGCTTAACTCATTAGGAGTTAACAACCTTGAGACGATCCATGGAAAAGCTCTATCAATTTTTGACATAATCTAGAAGATGACTTCAACTTTCGGCTCATACTATCTTGATGATTCTCTCTTCATTACAAGGTCTCCCTACTTTAATGTTGTCAACTACTCTTATTGGAAGAATATAATGATGTTGTTCATCCAAGACACTGATCTTTCGATTTAGGATGCGATCACTGACAGTTCTCCACCCCTACAAAGAATTAATCAGAGTGGACAGGTAAATATAGAAAGCTAGCCCAACTCAATGCCAAAGCTATGCACAACCTCTTTTGTGCTCTTGGCCTGAACAAATATAGTAGAGTATCTTCATTCTCTAATTATTAGGATATTTGGGATAAGTTAGAGATGACCTATGAAGGAACAAGTGAAGTGAAGAAGTCCAAGATTGACATTCTTACTCTCAATTATGAGAACTCCAAGATGAAGCCTGATGAAGACATAAAGACGATGTTTAATCTGTTCACTTCCATCACTAATGAACTTAAAAGTTTTGGAAGGTTTATCTCAATGAATAAGTATTGAGAAAGATGGTCTTTTCCTTACCAATGTCATGGGAGGGAAATGTCACTACCTTAAAAAAAACAAGGAGTTGGAGATACTCACTCTTGATGAACTCATCGGATCATTGTTAACCCATGATAGGAGATTACAAAGAAAATAATAAGAAGAAGAAAACAAGGAAAAGAAGAATGATGAGGTAGGAATCACTTGTAAGTTCACCAATGAGATTAATTAAGGCTCAATTGAAAAAGTGGATGAAGAAGAAAAGATGGTCAAGCTCTTTAAAATATCAAGAGGTTCATGACATCAAAAGAGAAAGATATGAAGCATGAATTGAGCAAAAAAAAGGGGTCCCCAATGTGCTTTTAGTTCCAAAGAATGAGACATATCAAGTATGATTGTCTCATCCTAAAGAAGAAGAAATCAAGTAAAAATAAGACATTTATGGTTGTTTGGAGTGATGAAAACAACTCCAATGATAAAAATTAAGTAGTCAATCTTTGCCTCATGACCATTCAAGAAGATTAAATGGTAACTTCTAACTATAGTGAATTAAATTTTTATTCTATTAAAAGTTACAAGATGCCTATGATGAATTATTTTTGGAGTTTAAGACCATGAACTCAAAATATAATAAATTGATTTCAAAATTTAAAGTTGAAAATGTTTTTTTAAAGCAAAAATAGATTTTGAAAAGTAAAATGAAGTTAAAGAATAACAATTTTGAGATTTCAAAATCAAAATTAAAATTTAGAAAAAAAAATCTTGATTTAAAAGTTAAACTTGAAAGCTTAATCAAAGAAAAATATATCTTTTCTAAAAATAATTAATCTAGTGTAATAATGACAAAGTTCTTGTATTTCCATTATCATTGTCACAATGTACATACTTGTCCTAATAAAAATAATTTTTTTAAATTAGTAAATTATGGGTTTTTAAGGGAACTAGAGACATTTATACTAACCCTTAAGGACTCAAAACTATTTGGGTACCAAAATCTAAAGGAATGTTTTGTAGATGTATTAGAGCAATGAAGAGAAATATCAAGACATTCAAATGCTCTAGCCACACAAAAGAAGGATGTGTAACCTCTAAACCAAATGTTCATTGATTTTGTATATTGGTTATGTATTTAGTTTTATGCATGCATGAATGATTACATGTTGTTTGTTATCTCATGTATGTTGAAAATATGTTATGATGAACATTTTGGTTAAATGGTTTTCATCATCATAATATTTTTTGGTCTAGTTGAGTTTTTTTTATGATTATATCTT